CCCCAAAACCCCAAAACCCCAAAACCCCAAAACCCCTCTTTCTAAGAATCTGATAAGGATTTGATTATTGAAATTTAAAGGATTATGCTTCATTCAATTATAGTATTTGAATAAATGATTTATGCTCATCTGAGTCTGCTGTATGGGTCCTTGCCATTAACCTTGTCTCCTCTTTTTTGTCTATATTAGAAGAGCATACCAAGCACGTAAAGTACTAAGTTTCCTGCAAGATAGGCATAGAAAATAGGATCAATATTATCTTTTACTCCATTGTTGATTTCATCAGCAATAGTGAATGGATTTTGATAGCGACCTGCAACAAGACCAATACCATTAATTACTAAGAATGATCCAGCCAAGGCAGTTGCGTGAATCAAGATATGATCGAAGAAGAATAGTGCAAGAATACCGAATACGAGGGCCATACCAACAGTAAAGCACCAGAAACCAGTATTTGAGTTCATTTTGTACAAGAAAGCATTATAAACTAACAGTCCTAGAGCATATCCACCCCATGCAGCAAGAATAAAGGCACCTAATTTGACTAGTTTGACCATAAGGCAACCAATAATAAGGCCAAAGATAAGTGCTCCAACTAGAACGACCCAACCAACCCATGGTTTAGTGTTTTCATTTAAGAATGTTGAGTAGAAAATGATCCAAACTAGAGAAATTGCCAAGATCATGCCAGCAATAAATAGAACTGGCCTGAATAATGTTCTTCCTAAGAAACAGAGGATACTTCCAATGATAAGGAATGCAACAAACATAAACCACTTGTTCTTCGTAAACCATTGCCAAAGACCACTAAGATTTCCGATTTTGCAACCAGTTTTGTGGCTAAACTTAAGAATTGGATAACATCCGCTATCATCAATTGTGTAATCTTCTGTGCTTTCAACATCTTTATCACAACTAATCTAGATTTAGAATGATGGCTCGCCACTGCAACCATCTTTCTTATTGCCACTGTTGTAGGTGATTTTAAGTCCACTATCTTTATCTTCCTCAAGTGGATCAAAATCGGCATCTTTAGTGGGGTCAGATCCAGATAGAACCTGACAATTTCCACCAGCTATGTCATATCTAGTTACCATTGTCTTTGTGCTGCATGATTAATCATCAGGCAAGTCATTGCAGAAACTCACATAGAAATCGTTGACGTCTTTAGTGAACTTATAGCTATCCTTACTAAAAATGAAAATTAAGAAAACTCAAAATTTACACTAGAGCTAATGGTTTTAAATCATAGAAATTCAATCCACTCATATATTGGCATCTGTATTAAACTTCAAAGAATTCGACTGGAGTAATTGGCTTGCTTTATTCTTGAACATGATGCGAGTGGACTTGCTGAGTATGGACAGGATCACTCTGATAGAGTTCAAAACTCTGCATAAGGAATTTGGCTGCTGCCACCTTAGCTGTATTTTGAAGTGAGCTAGGAATAGAAGTTGCCAGTAACAATAATGCTACTGTGGTTGCTTTAGAAAACATTTTATATATTAAAGTTATAATAATTCCAATTGAGAATCCAAATAATCAAATTTTATATTAATCTATCCTTTTACTAGTATGAATAAGTAATCGTTATTATGGGGTTTTGGGGTTTTGGGGTTTTGGGGCAATAATTAATT